GTTTTTTTTTTGTTTCTTTTCGTCTTTTGTACAATTTTTTATATAGCCGGTGAAAGTGTTCTTTGTTATTATTTCTTATGTTTAGAACTGTATTATAGAAATAAATAATAGATAAAATATGATATTGTTGATTTAAGATCAAGATAGATGATAGTTAGAAAAGATATTCAGAATGTTCAATATTGTTATGCAATTTGATTGATATTGAAATGATATATCAAAGAAACTGATTACATCAGAATTACCTGCAATTAATATACCTTCGATCCTTGATGAACTACGATAATGAATTGTTCACCTTGTAACATAAAATGAATTGATTTGTCCTCGTTCTATTGCCTTGATTGTTATTCTTACGTGAAGATAGCCTTTGGTCATCTTTAGATGACCTTATTACAAGAAAGAACATATACAATAGTACATCATAAATCAGCACATCTGTATATCCCAATTCGATAACAATTTGTCTTTTCTTTTCTTTTCTTTTAGTTTGAAATTGATGAGAACGCATTACAGGTCATGCTTGATTGATCTGTCTTTCTTTATTATTTTTGAGTATATGAATTCATGTTAGTTGGTCACACATATGAATATTATATAATAGAAATCATGAGTAACATTCAACAAAGGATTACATCATTTAAGTTATTAATGACTTCAAATAGGTTTTGTCACAACCTAACCTATGATGTAGCAATCAAGTAGTAGATTTAATTCGTCGGACATGTTATAATGTAATACGATCAAGATATAATTTATCTCTTTCATACAAAAAGAAAAAAAGAATTGATAATGCTTGAATTTTACTAATAGAATTATGTAATACAATACAAAAAGAAACATTTAAAATCATTTTTATAAAAAGCAGAATTCTAGACTAGTGTTTCCGAAGCAAAACAATACGGCTTAAAATGAATTCTTAAATAAAATCTATCTTTCTAGTTTTCATTTTTGTGTTAATTCATGTTATTTTCTATGTTGATTAAAATCTATATGATTAAATGTCTGAATTTATCTTTAGTAAATTTTTTATGAATTACTGAGCTGAATTTTGTTATTAAAAATTTATTAAAATCATTGTGTATTAATCAAGTATTTATGAATTTATATACTAATATAATATTTTTCAATGGAAATTGTTTTGATGAATGAACATTTTAGGAAATGTTTATAGAATAGTAGATACATCACTTTATTAATTAATTGATCTTGTCAATGGAATAAATATTAATATTGAAAGACAATATGTAAGTATGATAAGAATTCTATAGACAAAGAAATATATGAGAATTTTAGTTCAAAATTATTTCTATACAATGGATGTATGTAATAGTAGTAGTGAGTAATTTTTAATATGACATATTAAAGTTGATGTAATTTATTTTATTGTAGCAAGTATTGTGAGAAATATTAGCTTGTTTTTAAAAAGATTTGGATAATAAAATTTTCTTCAAGTATATTCACTTGTAAAATCTAATTTCGGATGTTTTATTAAATTATTCATAAGATGAATTCTTTGTCATTTTTTCTTTCGCATCAAATGGATAAGAGTTATACATGATAGGTAATTGCAATGCGAGCAATCTCATAAAACTCTTTGAATAGTTATTGCGTGAATAGCTATAAGTTAATAGTTAGACATAATGAAAATATTTTCATAGAATCCCTATAGAATACAAAGGTACAACACGATATAATTATTTTCTTTTTTTTGTTGTGAACAAAAGGGTTTCCGAAACATCACTTGATGTTTATGAGATATATGTTGCAAGATGAAAAGAACTATTAGTTCTAATGCATGACAATACACGTAGAAAAAGCATCAATAATGAACCATTTAACTAATGTTTTCCTTTTTCTATTATACATATTTAAGTTCACTCGATTTCAATTTAAATGACCCTTGAAATTTATTTTATTCAACAATTGCATATAGCATTAGTCCGAAGATTTTAAAATCTATTATTAAATCAAGGAAAAAAACGGCAGTAGATTAGTTTACGTAAACACATGCTTTTTTACCGCAGTTATATTTTTACATCATTTTTTTTTTTCATTAAGTAGAACACGTTCAAAAATGTAAATATTTAATATCAATTATAACTTGATAATCACGACGTTGACAGCTGTGTGAGAAGAAAAAAAAGAGCAATAAATCACATAACTTTTTTATGAAATATTTGTTAATTTCAGATAGTACAAAAAACGATTCAACCAAAAAATTCATTGATTATTATCATTCTAATAGTTTCAATTATGTTTTTTTTTCTATTGTCAATAAACTCATTTTTCTTTTCCTCTTTTTTCTTATTTTAGACGTCATTCATTGTAAGCAAAAAAAAAAAACTTGTCGACAAAATATTATTATTTTTTTTTTTTTTTTTTTTTTTAAAAAAATTTAAAAAAAGAAAAGCTTTTTTTTTTTTTATTAATTCTTAACTGGCATATAAGAATTTGTATTATTCTTTCGTTTTCTGTTCTTGTCATATTGACATGAATCAAATCTCAATACAAAAAAAACTAATCAAAAATATTCAAATTAAATTAAAGTCAGTAAACATTATAAGGTCAAAGAAATTTCTTGATGGCATTTACATGGGTGACGGCACTTTTTTTTATATTAAAATAGAGATTTAGTTCTTTTTTTTTATTTATATATTCATGATTTTGTATTCATTGAGAAAAAAAAAGTATGCTACTCTTTTTCTAATAATAGAAAACCTCCTAATCGAATTCCATTTGTCTTATCATCCAAGGTTAATTATATACTATTTATAATTAAATATTGAATGTGTTAAACCTTTGTTTTATGAATATATATTGCTAAATATATATTTTATAATAAACACAGAAAAAAAAAACGACAGAGTGATCAGTGCAAAACGCAATTATATAAATAACAACAACAACCATGAAAACGATGGATAAAGGCAAACAATAAAGTTTTTCTCTTTCTTCTGTTTTTTTTTAGTATCATGCATCAACTGCTATACCTGGGAGACTATGTTTTATTCTTTTTAGTAAATAGAGAAAAGACAGGTAGGAAGTCATGAAAATATGATATGTCGATTATTTGTGCTAAATAAAGACATAGTTGACATTTTAGGATAGGCAGCTTTTTAATTTTTAAGCATCGTTTGTATTTAATAGTATATCGAATCAATATAAACAATAAATCTAGGTCATATAAACAGACATATGACTAAGACTCCTAATAGATTAATTATGCTAGTCTTTTAGGCGTCATAAAAATTTTCAGTATACATCTCAATAAGCATGCACGTTTTAGATTGTCTTCTTGTTAAGTGAGCTCGACTTGTTTTTCTGTGTCACTACTGTCTATTATCAAGAAAATGGATCTAATCGTTTCCAACCAGGTATGTGGAAAAACGAGGTCATGTGCATATAAATATATCCAGTCAATTGGTAGACTTTTCTCTTGCTACTAATCAATATCGATACGAGATACATGTTTATACATTTGTTGCTCTGCGGCTTCCATCATTCATATGTATAAGATCAAAAAACTTATTTTTATATGCCTATGAAAGCTTTGTTTACATAAGTATTGTATTTTGTACTTTTATTCTTTCTGTTGATTGCACATGGTATGATTAATCTTAAGTCCACTTTTCAATTTGTCGATGTATAAGAACAATCTCATAGAATACATTGCAATTAGGTCATCATCTGTAGACAACGAGAAATTCGTCAATAGCAACAATAGCAGTTTAACAAAAGAGAGGACTGTTTATTTGTGTTACAGTTAATCACAACGAATTGTCTTGTAGTAACATACCAACATAGAACACGCACACAGAGCAAAAAAGTATTTGATAGAAAGAGAAAGTCAGAAGAGGGAAAAGAGGGAGAGAGAGAAAACAGGAGAAAGCTCACCATTTGCCATCAGAATACAAAAGAAGTCGTGGGAAGATGAAGAAGAAAAGAGAAAATCTACTGCGACTGCGTTTTTTTTTTGAAAAAAATAAGAGCGAGCAGGACGCAGAACAACAATATTTTTTTTGTGTTACAGACTTATACTGTCAAGAACACAAACGTGTTCAATTTCTTGAAGTATGTGACACTTTGTTTATTCATTTTTCTTTCTCTCTCTCTAGTGGCAGATTGTTAAAATACGATACTATTTATAGTCTCGATAGTTGTTTTATTGTTGTCTGTCGATTATCATTAAGAAAAAAACATGTACATCATCTTATATGTACGTTAGTTTCGTGCAATTTTTTACCACGCTTTTCTACCGGAACAGTGACTGTTCGGTTTTTTTCTCTATTTCTCTCTCTCGTTTTTCTCTCTTTCTCTTTTGGTTTCATTTATAATTTATTCGAAAATTGCTGTTCCATTTATTCAATATCTGACGAGCTCAACAGCATATAAAACGAATCGAAATAGAATGAGATTAAATGTAGATCTATTATTTGTTCGTGTGTTCATGCACAAACATGACTAGTGCATGGGTAGTACGACGGCAGCAAAATGTGTAATCGATCAAATAGCAGGAATATAGAAAAGAAGAGAATAGTGAGACCTTGCTAACGCCGAAGCAGATTATTACTAGATTGCAGATAATATATTAATGGGTGATGTGGCATCTTACCCTCATTCTTTGAGATGAATAGCAACATGACGGAGAGAGAGAGAGAGCGAAGAGCGGAATATAGTTATGTAGATAGACAACAGCAAAAACAACAGAAAAGCATGGAAGTTCCTATTGAGTACATAAAAAATAAAATAACCATGTCGTTCTTTTCTCTTTGATGAGTACTACAGAAATATGACAATTAGGAAAGTTCTTTTTTTTTTCTCTTCTAAGAGACAAATTGTCAAAATATATTGATGCAATTAAAAAAAAACATAATGTACTAGCGCCTTCTGTTTTTATTTGGTCTCATTTTTTGACAGAGACCTATAAACATAGGGTAAGGTTAATTTATCTTCTATCTTCTAGACACAATATATAAATACAAAAAAAATATATATCTATGGGTAATAATTCGTCATCATCGTCTTCGAGTGGTGCAATGTCAAACTCAAGCCAAGCTCATATAGAAGCTCAAGTTAGTTCTTATCTTGACAATGCCAAACAAGAATTTGACGCAAAATATGCTCAACCAGCTAAACAAACAGCTAAATTAGATGAATTTCATTTACAACGAACTGTTGGTACGGGTTCCTTTGGTCGTGTTATGATTGTACAACATAATAGTCAAACATTAGCATTAAAAATAATGGAAAAACAAACAATTGTTAAATTAAAACAAGTTGAACATACATTATCGGAAAAACGTATTTTACAAGCAATCAAATTTCCGTTTCTCGTTAATTTAATTTATTCATTTAAAGATAATTCACATCTTTATTTAGCATTAGAATTTGCAAGTGGTGGAGAAATGTTTACACATCTTCGGTAAGATTATTAAAGAAAACATAGAAATAAGTTTTTCTTTTCTTTTTCTTCTTTTTCATTAATAAAGAACTGTTGGAAAATATCCTGAAGATCAAACACGTTTTTATGCTGCTCAAGTTGCATTAGCATTTGAATATTTACATTATTTGAGTATGTTGAAATACTTATTTTAATATTACTCATTGATATCTTGTTGTTGTTTTTTTTTTACAATATAGGCATTATTTATCGAGATTTAAAACCTGAAAATATTTTATTTGCTGCTGATGGTTATTTAAAAATAACAGATTTTGGTTTTGCTAAAGTTGTTCGTGATCGTACATATACCTTATGTGGAACACCTGAAGTAAATATTGTTTTGTTTCGGGCAAGAATTAGAAAAAAAATCTTTTCTTTTTCTTCTAATTTTAGTATATTGCTCCAGAAATAATTCTCTCTCGTGGTTATAATAAAAGTGTTGATTATTGGGCATTAGGAATATTAATATTTGAAATGGCTGCTGTAAGACAATTATAAAAAACAAACTATGAATAGTTTAAATAAATATTTATTTATTTATCGTTTTAGGGTTATCCACCATTTTATGCTGATCAACCAATACAAATTTATGAAAAAATAGTTCAAGGAAAATTTAAATTTCCATCACATTTTTCATCTGATCTTAAAGATTTAGTTCGTAATTTATTACAAGCTGATTTAACAAAACGTTATGGAAATTTAAAAAATGGTACAAGAGATATTAAATATCATAAATGGTTTACAGCTATTAATTGGATTTCTATTTTTGAAAAACGTGTTAAAGCACCACATATACCGAAACCAGATAAAGATCATTATGAAAAATATGATGAAAAACCCATGACACATTCTGCGACAGAACTTTATCCAGCTGAATTTGACAGTTTCTAATTTAAAAAAAACGTTTTCATTTTCTTTTCTTTCTTTCCTTTTTTTTTTTTGTATATTATCAGTGTTGATACTACTGCTTGCAAACAAAAAAAAAAATCTTATTTTTGATATTCAGATCAAAGACAATTATATTAAAGTTCATATGAAATTCACATATAAGTCTCAATAGATTAATTTATTCATGTGGAAAACTGTAAAAATGTCTTTTTTTTTACTTTGTGAATAACCCATACCATGTTCCTTATCATTTGTAAAAATTAATTGGAAAGAAAAACGCTGAAAATAGAACTAAGTTTTCAGATTAAATTTAAAACTATTTTTATGAATAGACATTATCAAAATTAAAGAAAGATTTTTATGAATAGATAATTTAAGTAATGTACTAATACAATGTGATGTTTGTCGAACTTGAAGAGTAACACAAAAACAAAACTTAATAGTTTTAAGTACTAGATGATTTTTCATTTAATATTATTTAAAATAAAATTTATGATGATTTTTGTCGATACATTCTAATCCCATATGATGAAATGCGATATTTTGTTTTTCTTATTATGTATTTGTATTTCAATAGAAATACAGCCTCGATGAAAAATACAATTTAATGCACATTTCGAAGGACACCTTGATGAATGATATTATTTTTTAGTAACAAACTGAAATACAGGATAAAAAAGAAAGTGTACTTAAGTTCACCTGATGGTCTAAAACAATAACAAAACACTTAATGTTGTCAAGTATGAGACGGCTAGTGATTTCTCATTTTAGTTAGGAGACAAAAGAAAACAAAATTTTTTTTTTCATCTACATTGACGATTCAATTAATTATAAACTTCAAAGTACAAAAAAGAAATTTCCATGTTGAATCATTTTGTTTTTTTTTCTTGAAAGTTCTCAAAAGTCAAAGGTTCAGTTTTTATGAAAAACATAGCAACAATAATGTAAATTGATGAAATTTCTAACGTAATATGTACGTGTTGATTGTGTTTTATTTTCATGTCATCATTTTGACTAAACATCAATTTAATTTGATTAATTTATTAAGAATCAATTATGTCATTTTTTTAGTAGACAGCACAAGAAATCATTTAATGTCAAACAAGCTCATCTGGAGCTTATCAACAGAAAAAGAACATATATTAATAGTTAATACATAAAAACAATTAATTATGAAAAGGAAAAAAAATAAAGGCAAACATAATTATTTTGTTAATATACACTTAAATAATTTTTTATTTGTTTGACTAAATTTCCAATATTTTTCAAATAATATTCTATAATAATAAGGTATTACTTCTTTTTCTTGATCATTTTTACTTGTTGTAATTTTTTCCATCATTGAACAAAAATATCCAAGTTCTTTTTTTTCTTTTGATTGTATATAATCAACTATATCTTCTTTAACAATACGTTTTAAATGACCTAATAAATTAATTGGTTGTTTTAAAAAATTACTTGCACTTGTAAAATGTTCTTGTTTTTCAATAAAATGTGCACCACCAAAATCAATTATACTAACTTTATTATTATTTTTACGATCAACTAATATATTTCTTTCATGCATATCATCATGTGATATACCAATATGATCTAAATTACAAACAATAGCTGCTGTTTGACATGATATATAAATTAAATCTTTTGATGATAATTTATCAATTATCTTTGATAATTCTTCATAACCTTCAAGTAATTCCATAGCAAGAATTCTATATGATGATGTTTCTATATATGCAACATATTTTGGTATTGATGGAATTTCATATTCTGTTGTAAGACGAAGTGCAGCAGCTTCACGTAAACATTTTTCATTTCCTTTATTTTCAATAAGTGATTGAAGATCAATACGATTGTAACGACCTGCTGTATTAAATGAAACAGTACCAAGTTTAGTTGGTAATTTAATAAATTTTATAGCAACAGGAAAATGAACTGCTGTTGATTGACCTCGTACAACTAATCCATATGTTCCTGCACCAATTAATGATTGACAATCAATACTAAGACATGTAAGAGATGGATCTGATGGACAAGGTTCAGTATTAACTGTTAGACTATTTTTTTTTAATAAATCAAGGTCTTCAGAAGAAATTGAATATTCAAGATTTTTATCAGAACATAATGATCCAGAACCTTTTTTAGTTGGTTTTGTACAATGCGTAATATCATTAGCTAAATTAATTTAAATGAATAGAACTAGAAAAACAAAAGTAATTTGATACTTACTTTGAGTTTTACCAATATTACACAATTTTTCATTAGTACAAAATTGTACTAAAACAAACAAGATATAGATGACAGGCAATAACATTCTTGTAGCAGACAGTAAGATTATCTTGAGAAAAAAATAATGATTTTCTTCGTTGCCAAGAGTATGTACTAACAGATAGCAAAGAGCGGTACCAACAGAATGTAAAAACAATAGTCGTGCCAAATATAGCGCTGATATATTATAGATATTTTTCTTTCGTACAGCAAATTGCTGAGGTTATTAACGATAACAAGGTTTTATCAGCATGTGTGCGTAGTTGATCAGATAACTTTTTCTGGGCAAAAGAAAATAATTCATCGTTTGATTCATAAGAGAAAGGAAAGAAAGAACTTTGGAATACATATATTCTCTAACGATAAATATGATCGAGATTTCCAAATGGTATTGTTTTTCACAATGAGTCATCCTACATGCTGTTAAGTTTATGACAATAGCTAAATTAAACTAATTTGTTTTTCTTTTTTCAAGTAATGCAATTAGTTGTAAAATATTTTTTTTTTTCTTAACGTTCATATGATAAAAAAAACAACAATAACAAGGCTGTCGTATTAGAATTAGTATTTAGTAATACCAACGGTAATGCTTTCGATATTAGTGTTAAAATTAGTCTTAATGATTTGATATTATTTTCAATAAAGTTAATTAATACCAATGTATTAATATTATTTTCAATGCTAATGTAGAGATTACCGACGAGTAGATTTTGGGTACTCTTACTCTAGATGTCCTTAAAACCAAACAGTGTTGTTCTGTTTTGGGAATAGGATTTCCGATTACCAAAGCCTTTGCTTTTTTTTCTTGGAAATAGCATTTCCTGGTCTAATAAACCTTTGTTTTGTTTAGGGAATATATTTTCCGAGTATATAAACTCTCTGTTCTATTTTGGGAATGCCATCTCTAGTTAGAAAAGAAATTTTTGTTTTGTTATCGGAAACCATCGAGCATGAACTCTTCAAGGGACGGTCGCAGTTAATATATATGTTAGAATTCACATTGATGCTAACTGCTTGGCATCTAATGTAAATAATATCAAAGTATAATGGTTAATTTTAATACTAATGCTTGTTTGACATCTTTAGAAAATGATATAAAGGAAATATGTGATAATGTCTTTCAATCGAAACAAAAAGGAACTAATATTCGTATTGTTTCAATTGATTTTTGTTAATGATCACTGATATTTTTTTTAGAGCAAATTCATTCAATCAAACTCATTTATTAACAACTGATATCGAAAAAATTAAAAGCATTTATATTATATATAAGCATTCAATGAATGTAAATTACAAATAACTCGACTTTTGATTTTGAATTTTTTTTTCCAAATTACATTTATCATATAATAAAAAATGTAAACATAAAATCACATGTAAAAGAAAATTATTAGATACGTTTTCAAGTTTATCAATTGTTTTGGCGAATATAAAATGCTACTCTCATTAAATAATTGATCAAGATAAAATTAACTCTTTGACAAATAAATACAAATAGAACACTTCATTTGTTTTTTAGTTTCTTCGATTTGAGTCGAAATTAATAGAAATTACAGCAGAACATTTTATATTATTTCTGCCAACCTATATATGTCTATTATCAATAAGCTGATGAAATATATAAAATTTATATATCAAGAATTTTATATTCAGAAAAAAATTCAAATTTTTTTAAAATCTAAATCAATCATGTTTTATTTTCTCGTATAATTAATATGAGAAAATAAAATAAAACTGTTCCTTTATGTTTTTCATAATGCAAGTTATTGCTATAGTAACGTTCCTCTTTTCATGTGTAAAACATTTTTCTTCGTCACCTATGCATCTTATATCAATACTATACCAACAATGGTTGGTAAACTTACAACGCATGCTTGCAATGTTGCAATCAATATAAAATCATTACTGTCATTCGTTGCGTATACTTTTCTTTCTTCCGATTAAACACTCAAAATTATGCAAAATAATCCCGTAGCTTTTCAAGATGCTGTAACACGTGCTCAACAAGTAGCACAAAGATTGGCAGCATCAGCACCAAATGCTAGTAAAAATTCTTCATTGAAACGATCCAATACTGAAGAAGATAGTTCAACAAAACGTCCAGCGATTACATCTCCAACGGAAACATATCCTATGTCAGCACCTGTATTACGTGCACAACAAATAGCACAACAAATTAATTCACAATTAGGTGTAAAAACATCAAATGATTCAAATTCATTACCACTTGCAAATCAATTAACATTTCAAGAAGATTATAAAATTCCTGATAAATTTGTTGGTCTTATTATTGGTAAAGGTGGTGAACAAATAATTCGACTTCAAGCTGAAAGTGGTTGTAAAGTACAAATATGTCAATTACGACCAGAACCTTTACCTGGTGGTCCTAATCCTCCTGATCGTTTAGCAAATTTATGTGGTACAAGAGACGCTGTTGAACGAGCTAAGCGTATTATGGATGATATTATAGCAAGAGGAAAAATGGCTGACGGTAGCTCAACAAATATTAATCCATATTCCATGGGAGGAACAAATACTAAAACAATTGATGTTATGTTACCATCAGCTAAATGTGGTTTAGTTATTGGTAAAGGTGGTGAAAATATCAAGCGAGTGTCTGTAAGGAATCAATTTAATTTTTTAAGCAAAAAAAAAGCACAAAAAAAACATTCTTTTTTTCAGGAAGAATTCGGTGTTAAAATGTATGTTGTTCAAGATTCAGCAGATGTTGATGGTATTGAACATAAACCATTAAGAATTATAGGTGAATCTGATCGTGTAGAAGTAAGAAAACAAGAAATTTTTGTATCTTTTTTTTTTTATTTGTATATCATTTATTTTAGCGTGCTAAACAATATGTACTCGATTCATTATCAAAATCAGGTGGTTTGCCTAATCCAGCTAATCGTCTTAATACCAATCAAAATAGCACAACGTCATTAAATGATGCAAATTCACGAGTAAATACTTTATTGTAAAAATTTTTTGTTTTTTTTTAAGGAAATTTTTAGATGGGGAATACACCGATGACTGGTCCATGTAATGAAGCAATTTATCATGTACCGTATGATAAAGCTGGGCTTATTATAGGCAAAGGTTGGTGTATATATATAACTTTTTCTTTTGTCCGTTCTTTTTTTTAAAGTTTTTAACTAATTTTAGGTGGTGAAAGTATTAAAGAAATAAATCGTAGATCAGGAGCTTTTGTTGAACTTGATAAAAGTCATGTTTCAACAGCAGGAAATTCAACTGACAGAGTATTTAAATTACGTGGTACACCTGAACAAATAGTTACAGCACAGCAATTAATGTATGAAAAAGTTTTAAATGGTCCTGGTGGTTCTGGTGATATGTTAACACCAATACAATTTCAACAACAATTTAATTTACCATTAGTCGGAACGAATTCAATCGACACATGGAATACTAGTAATGATCAATATGGTAATAGTACAAATAGTAATGATCCTTATAGCCAATGGGCAAATGTTTATGGACAATGGCCACAATGTAAATAATGTTTAATTTGAAAAAAGATACAAAAATAAACTTTTTGCTCTTTTTTTCGTTTTAGTAAATTCCTATAATCAAAGTGCATCAAATAATAATGATAATTCATCAACATCAAAAACTGCTGGTTCAGACATGGGACAAATGGATCCAACTTGGTTAGCTTATTATCAACAAATGAATTATTACAGTATGATGCAATCAAGTATGACAGGTAATACATCGGCTAGTACGACTACAACAAAATCAACAGATTCAACACTAAATACAAGTAGTACTAATAATTCTACAGCAACAAGTATATAGATTTTTTTTTGACTATTGATTTATTTTATTTTTATTCATGAATATATTTTCAATAGCAATAAATCCAGTCACCGGACAACCAGATTACAGTCAGCAATGGATTGAATATTATCGATCAATTGGACAAAATGAAATGGCTGATGAAATCGCTCGACAAATGAAAGCGGTAAGAATTCTATTTTTTATCGATAACCGAAAAGTTTAGTATAATCTACATTTCTAAGCAAAAGATCATTGTCTTGAGATTTATTGACTCGAAATATTCATAATTTTTTTTTATTTTCAGTCTAGTTCAAATACAGCATCCACAACTACAACCAATACACCTTCAACTAATTCAGTTACAAATGCAGCACAAGCAACAGCTACGGCTACAATGATGTCTTCGGGTAATGCTTGGGCTGCTTATGCTCAGCAATGGGCTGAAGCGGCAGCAGCGGCAAATACTACAAATGGTGTGAATTCGTCAACAAAATCTTCTTCTTAAGGTAAGCAGATCAAGTAAAATCTTTTTTTTTGTGTTCTTCTTAAATTTAAATTGAAAAAAGAAATATTTATGTTTTGAGTCAATGATGTTTGTAAGTCATCATTGTAAGAAAAATGAAAATTTATTATCATTATTACTTGTCTATTTTATGTTTGTTTTTTTTTTCTTGTTCTTTTTTTTATCATTATTTGTAGGAATCGATTGATTAATTCTTCTCTACGTCTTTATCTTGTTCAACATTATTGATTTATTATATATATATATATATATTATGTTTTCCTTAGAAGACAATGAATGTTTTTTTTCTTTTTTTCAAATGTCGACGATTCTATACAAGAAAAATCCAATATGTGTCATCAACAAATGTTATTTGTATTTGTTTATTTGTTTTTCTTTTGTTTTAAATATTCTTTGTATTATTTTTTGTCTTTACTTCATGATTATTTCTGTTTTATTTCTAGCTAAAAATTATGAGCTAATCTCATAATTATTTGCAGATACAAAACGCGAAAAAAAAGAAAATATTTGCTGTTTTTTTCTTCTAGCTAAAATTATTTTCTTTGTTAAAATAGGAGACAGAGTTATACGGGTAAAACATAAAAGATTTTTTTTATTCTATTCATGTTTTATATAGAAATACCAAAAACGGCAAAGGTTTTCGGTAAGTTTTTTTTTCTATTGAATAAATAAATAAATATGATCAAGTTTTCAAGAGAAATTGAGAGAGAAGACAAAAAAAAAAACTAATACATTTTTATTTTGCTGTGATGTTTATAATTTATTTTAGTTTAGATTATAATTTTGGCATTGATCAGGTATTTTCTATTTCAATTTTATTTTAGAAAACTATCAACAAATTCAATCAAGTTTGAATAATAAAATTTTTCTTCATATCTATTATATTATAATTGCTGTTGAATTTGATTTAGAACTAAGAGAAAAAAAAATGGTCAAAAAAAACTAAAATTAATTTTAAAGATGATTTATAATTTCAAAAGTATACAATGAAAAATATATCGACGGAGAATCTCGAGTTTTGATAAACGGAAAAGGAAAGACTCTTAATCAAAAACATGTTTCGAAGTTCATTAGTGATAGTATTAGTGCACTTTTGCGCATTTTATATTGAGAAAAGGTTTGCATGGGGAGCAGCGATCGCCTGCCGTGCCTCCCTCCTCTCTAAATATACTACTGGAATGTATTAGTGTCTTTTAGAATATAGTAAATATGGAAATAATTGTCTTTTTCTATACTGATGATCACGATGTAAAAATATTACAAGCGTCATTTATTATATGATATTCATTCAAACTGATGTTGAGTGCATCTTTCTTATTTGAGAAAAACGATGAATTCTATTTATATAGTTTATTATGAAAAAAAGTATTTTCGTTTTATCAAGAGTAATTGAAAAATGAATAGGGATTTCTTTGGAATTTTTCGTTTGTTTTTGATTATTAACTCATTAAAATTCATACTGAAATTTATTTTGTATAAACTAACAAATAAATGATTGATCAAATTGAAACTCAATGAATAAAACTATGAACAAAAATAATGTTTTCATTTTATTTGTCACAATATGCAATCATGTGCGAGGTTGTTTTTCATATTTAAAATCATATATTAATAATTCTAAGAATATGAATTCTGTTGTGTTTTGTAATTGAACATGATTTAAATCAATAAAAATCGTACAATGTGTGTTTTACACAAACATATACATTTACTCTCGTTTTTTTTTATTTTTAAATTATAATTTTCTATTCGATTTCTTGTATCAAATAAAAATATTTTTATGATCTTCGATTACATAAATGATTATTAAGTCACAATCAACATACATAGTTTTTTTTTGAAAACTAACCAATTATATAGACTTTAGAGTCTTTAAAACTATCAATGATAATATGGATTGTTTTATTATTGTTTGAAAACAAAAAAAAAATATATATAGATTATTCTATACATATATACAGAACAAAACACAAAAAAAAAAGAATTTAATATTTGGTTCATTTTATTCAAAAAATATTTTATCATTCAGTAATATTATTATTAATTTGAGTAGTTTCTGTTTCAGTATTAACCGATGTATTATTAATATCAGCAATATCAATAGCACCTTTTAAATGAATAGCTTCATCTAATGAAATTCCTCGTTCAATTTCTTGTACTTGTTGATAAGTTGGTAAAGTAGTTGTCGAACAAATTTGTTGAGGATTAGTTACTAATCGATGTCGAGAAAAATTTGTTGCAATTGATGGTCGAATAATAGGCATCATCATAGCTGATGATAATGGAGATATTGTTGAACGAATAACAGGAAATTTAACAAGAGGACGATTATTAAATTTCGTACCTGGGTGGGCAATATTTGGTGGTAAAATTGCTTGAGTTTGTTGTTGATTACTTGTTAATTGTCCTTGTTGCTGGTGTTGATAGACAAGCGCTTGAGCTGCTAATAATGTTGGTAAAGCAGCTTGAATTTGTTGTGCTTGTGCTTGAAGTGTAGCTTCTTTAAGACGTTGTTGAATCACTAGATTATCCAAAAAAAAAGGAAACAAAAGAATTTTGTTTTTCATATTAATTAAAGATTTACTTATTCCTAAAAGAGCATTTGTAAGTTGATATTGTAATTGAACTGTTGTTTGTGATTGTGACGGTTGTTGTTGTTGTTGTTGTTGTTGTAAAATAAGTGAATTCATTAATGCTTGTACAGTACTTAAATTACTTTGTGCTGATGAAGTTTGTTGTCGAGCTGCAATAGCAGCAGCAGCTAAATTTTTAGCATGTAAATCTTTTCGATGAGTTAAACCAGCATTATTTGATATATCAGACTTTGTACTACATGATGAAGATGATTTTAATGGTTTTGTTGATTGTTCAGTTTTTATTGAAGAATTTGGAAGTTTTATTTCATCAGATTTATTATTTGTTCGTGACTCTTGTAAACATGATGAATATTGTTCACGTTTATTAGTTTGTTGTTGAAAACGATGACGAGGTGGTATATTATCATAATATGCATGATGATGATTATTATTATTACTACTTTTGGACGATGAAAACATAGGTTTTGAGTTATGTCGTTGTTCATTTTTAATTTGTTTTCCTTTTCGTATATGTCGTGATGATAATGAATATATATTTCGATATTGATGATAATAATCATTCATATAAAAATTATTATTTGATTCATGAAAATCATGATTCCAATAATTATTTTTACTAATTAATGATCGTCCATGGTACTCTTCACGATCAAAATATGCATTTGTATTACGCGACTGTTGGAGATTATTATTATTAATTTGATGACGTTGTTGTTTTTGTGTTGATGATGATGATGACATTTTGGAGAAAGAATTATAGAGATAATGATGCGCTGATACCTATATTTGCTGAAAAATCTACACAATTGTTATAAACAATTTGCCGCCATGCTTTTTTCTAAGGCAAAAGAAAAACTAATTATTTCGGAAAAATTGCACGTGATTCTATTCTTTTTTTCTGTGTTCTATCGATATAGATATGTGTCGGTTCTCTGTATATATGTACAGGAAAAGACAAAGATTAGATAGTATCAGAATGAAGAAACTGGAGCGCAAAGTGTTCCTCGAAGTCTATTGTCGACTTCGAATTTTGGTTTTTGCCATAGTTTTTAGTTTGGTCATTGCTATGGGTGTTTTGCCATTTTTGATTTGTACGTTTCAGTTTACAAAAAAAAAATTAAATTAATTTTATTCAAAGAAAAATCTCTATTTAGATAATTTAACACGTTCTGTGTCAAAAGTATCTAATAAATCAGTTCATCGATTACCAACAACTATTAATCCATCACACTATCGTTTATATATTGATGCTAGTCAACTTGAAGAATATATTTTTCAAGGAACTGTAGATATTGATATTCAAGTAAAAATAATTCAAATTTTTAATAAACAAATAATAATTGAAAAATTTTAGATTAACGAAATTGTGAATGAAATTATATTAAATAGTATGAATTTAAATATAACAAAAATTGAATTTCAACATTATGATTTCAATTTTACTCTTAATGGATCAGTTGAATATAATGAAAATTATGAACAAGTAATAATGAAATTTAATCAACAATTAAATGTAAATTTAATAAAATTTGATTTCAAACTTATTAATAATATTGTTTTATTTCATTTTAAGCCTGGAAATGGTCGTTTATATTTATCATTCCGTGGTAAAATAAATGATCAACTTAATGGATTTTATCGAACTAAAGCTCGTAACCGTATAGGTGCAAGTACACAATTTGAAGTAAGATTAGATTTCAATGAATTTTTATTCTAATTTTTATTAAACTGTGTTAGCCTGGATATGCTCGTCAAGCTTTTCCTTGTTTTGATGAACCATCATTTAAAGCTAATTTTACAATAACTATTCGAGCTCCTAAAAATTTAACAACATTGAGTAATATGGTATAAGAAAAAGAAAAAACATAATTTTTTTTCTAAAATAAAATCATGTTTTTGATTTTTAATAGCCACTTAAATCAAAATATGATGATGGAAATGATACATGTGTTCATGAATTTGATTCATCACCGGTAATGTCGACATATCTAGTTGCTTACGTTATTGGTCACTATGATTATGATGAAACACGTGATTCTAATGATGTACTTATTCGTGTTTATACACCAATTGGAAGACAAGAACAAGGATTATTTGCTTTAAACGTTAGTCTTTGTCTTTTAAATAAATATATATTCCTATTCCAAATGATCTATATAGACTGCTGCTAAAATGCTTCCATTTTTTGCGAACTATTTCGGTATCAAATATCCGTTAAAAAAACTCGATATGATTGCCATTGCTGATTTTGGTTCCGGTGAATAGAGAATTGATTGTTTCCTATCCTAGATTTGAATATATTCTTTTTTTTTCCTGTTTTTAGGCGCAATGGAGAATTGGGGGTAAGAAATAAAATATTAAAAACTTAAAAGAAATAATCTTTTTTTAAAAATTAATCAGCCTAGCAACTTTTCGTGAAACATATTTACTTGTTGATCCTTATACATCGACACAAAAAACTAAACAAGATGTTGCACTTGTTGTTGCTCATGAATTAGCACATCAATGGTTTGGCAATTTAGTGGTAAGTAAAATTCTTGCTTTTTTTGTTGTGTATTTTAATTATCTCATGAAAATTATGTTTTTGTTTTCTAGACAATGAAATGGTGGAATGATTTATGGCTTAATGAAGATAAGTATTCAATTAAAAAATATTTTTCATATAAAATGTCTTTTGTTCTTTTTTTATTTTTTTTAAGTTTTGCATCATGGATTGAATTTCTTGCTGTTGATAATGTTTATCCAGAATATGATATTTGGACCCAATTTGTATCAGATACATTAGCTACATGTATGATTCCTGATGCATTACATAATAGTCATCCAATTGAAATGCCTATTCAAAAACCAACTGAAATTGATGAAATATTTGATGAAATTACTTATGGAAAAGGTATTTAAATAAAATTAATTTAGTCTTAAAAATGAATTCTTGTTTTTTTTTAGGTTCAAGTGTTATTCGATTACTTCATGCATATGTTGGTAGTGAAGCATTTCGTATTGGCCTTTCAAATTATCTTGCTGAATATGCATATAAAAATACTGTGACAGATAATCTTTGGTCACATTTATCTAAAGCATCAAATCAATCACATTTATCAGATATACTAACAACATGGACAAAACAAATGGGTTATCCTCTTCTTACAGTATTGTTGATTTTTCTTTTTTTTTTTCTTTTAAATATATATTAATCAATTATTTTTTGTTTCAATTAAAGGTAGAACAAAAACAAGAAGGAAATAATCGATTAATAACAATTGAGCAAATACGATTTCTAGCTGATGGAACAAAAGATGATAGTTTAAGATGGAAAATACCAATAAATATTTGTACGAAATCACATCCAAATGAAACAGTTTATCAATTATTTTTAAATGGAGTAAAAAGACAAGAATTTTTATTAGAAAATATACCTGAAACAGATTGGATTAAATTAAATTTATTTAGGTAAATCTCAAAATATAGTTTTAACTTTGTTTGATTTATATTTCGAAAACAATTCAAAATTGGTCATTTTCAATAAGAATAAAATAATTTACCCTAGTGATGTTAAAATCTTTTAAATTAAAGAAAATATGGAAAAAAAAGTGTGTGTTTATGATTCGGAAGTAGAAGCACACACCCATACACACAGACACTCCCACCTACCATCATGCCAATCCTCATAAATAGAAAACAAAGCAAAACTAATCAATTCAAATAATTAACAGTTATTCTTCATGTATTAGAACGTTTGAGGAAATCGACTTTTACATTGAAAAATATTGATCGAATCAAATAATAAACTCAGAATTTGATAATTTTAATATTAAGATTTATATTGAAACAAGACAGAGGCATCCCGAATGGAAGATCTAGGTAATGACTTTATCTTAATATTGAAATTTTTTGTTTTTGTGTCAGCAGAGATTTTAGTGTTTTCTTGGTTATTTAGCTCATCATATGCCCGAAAAACGCTGAGCCCATGAAAATCCAGCCAACTTTAGCGATAATCTTCTGTTTGACTTCCTTAGCCATTGACCTTTTGCCCAATTCTAGCAACGTTGGGACATCCCTAAACCAAAATTAATGTATTATCTGCACAGTTAAAAATATAATTTTAAGTTCTTATTCTAATTAGTCGAATCAGAGGTGTTCCGAGGTCGTCTGGATTGAGGGAATTTGACCATTTCTACTCCAGTTGGCCGAATTTGGGGGATTTGAGCTGATTATTACGAATTGGTGAACAAACAGCATCATATAACGCTGAAGCTTCAGTAAAGAAAAACAAAAAGTTTTCAAGATTAAATGGATCATCCCTTCAACCCATGCTCAGACATCCATAAGTCAAACCTCACTAGGCAACTGTTATCTAGAAATTTCAATACAAATAATTGTAAAATGTTCTAATCCTTCATTATTTGGAATAAATGAACTTGTCTATTATTGTCATAACTTCTCATTTGAAGATAATTCCGAATCTCTATTCTAGTTATCCAAATAATATTCTCTAAAGCCTTCTTTTTCGTTATTCAGTGTTGGTATATATCGTGTTCATTATCCTCAATCGATGCTGGAAGCATTAACACCCGGTATTCGGCATCATACACTTTCACCTCAAGATCGTTTTAATATTCAAGCAGATGTATATGCAATAGCACGTGCTGGTCATATCGATTATGTTGCCTATTTAAAATTACTTCGTTATGCATATAAAGATGAAGAAAATTTAACTGTTTGGAAATCTATATTACGACAATTAAGTGAACTTAGTTCAATATTTGATTATGCTCATTTACATAATACAAAAAAACTTTATCAAGCATATGTATGTGATCTTTTATCAAATATACAAGCTAAATTAACATGGGATCCATTACCAAATGAAAGTTCACAAACAATAATGCTTCGTAATTTAATACTAACACAAATGGGTGTTAATAGAGATAATAAAACGTATGATGAAGCACATAGACGCTTTGAAAAAATTTTTATTGAAAATAATCAAAGAAATCCAATTGACCCAAATATTCGTGCTGCAGTTTATTTAACTGTAGCTAAAACAGGAAATCAACAAATATTTGATCAACTTAAATCGGTAAATTTTCATTAAAAAAAAAAACAAAAATTTTCCAAAAATTAATAACAACCAAAATTGTATCAATTTAACGAAATATTTTTTTAATTTTATAATCATTCAAATGAAAATATTTCGTTTATAAAATAGAGCGAAACTAGACATAAGCGAGACCAGTCATTGTTAGTTCGAGTTCACAATTGAGCAAGTACAAGTACGTATTTGTACTTGCCCAATTCTAGTCACGAACATCTCACCTGTGTCTATGTAAGAATACACGCACCATGAGTAGAGGTGTGCGAAACTAAAACATAAATTTTTATTGAAACTGGCTTCACAAGGAAAAAATTTGTCAGAATTAAAGGTAAAGTCTATAGAAAAATGTTCAATAGTTTTAAGCACATTATCTTATAACTCATATCAATCAAAACATAGTTCAAGAGAGATGACTAAAAATAGTTCGAGTCGTCAACCAAATAAATCAAATAAATGAGTACCAAGGAATTATTTTAGATGAAATACAAATAAATTATTAAATAGTTTTATCTAGATCGAGATCGAGACCGAGATCACTAGAAAGGAAGTTGTCAGTCTGCAAACTATACCAGATTTACCGGTACTATCACTAGGGCCACAATAAAAAAAGAAAAACCTTGGTCTTGAACATCTCTAGTTGTGACAATATGAAATTCAACGTAAGTTTTACACAATCCTAAAAAATATCGCTTCGAATGAAATTGCTTGGTCTTGAGACCGAGATCTTCTTGCTCATGTCCAAGTGAAACGTATGTGTTTAAAACCTAGTTTTGATCTTTATTCATAAAAATTCAATTCGAATACTCATAAGTAGTTTTTTTCATTACATAAAAATGTCATAGATAATAGTTCACAAGTTTTTCAATCTAACTGTGATTCAATAAGATTAATTCGAGGAATAGCTTGAACATCATGTTCTATTATCTTTTCTTATTTGTGTTCAATGACTGTGTTCAGTTCAGAAATCATTAGAGCGAAGTAAATAGCTCATCAATGAAACCAACAAAGGATTCGACTGTTTGTTGTTATATTCATTTGGAATGACAGTTTTCAAATTCCTTAAAAATATTACAAAAATTTGTCGGTATTGCGGAAAAATGTTAAGTGCTGCTAATCGAGTTGGTTCAATTCTTTATATGAATAATTGAATTCATGTAGAATTTTATGAGAACGAAAATAGGCTTCATCATCGAATAGATAATTTCCGATAGAATGATGTCCCCTAATACATAATATTTTTTTGATTGAAAGAGGTTAATTAGAGTAAACTCTCATTTTATCTAAATTGATGAAAAAAATTCTTTATTTAATATTTAGCTTTATCTTAAAGCTGATACACAAGAAGAACGTTTAATTTTATTAAATGCACTTTCTCATTTTGATAATGAATCTCTTCAAGATCAAGCACTTCAATTAATATGGAATACGGTATTTATATTTTAATTTGTATTCGATTTAAAATCAAAAGCATCTATTTAAGACTCTAGTTCGAAAACAAGATCATTTAAGTGCTTTTTCTTCATTAGCATCACATAATCGTCGAGGTTGTGAAATATGCTGGACATATTTGAAACAAAACTGGAAAAAAATTGAACAAAGTTATGGTCAACATGATTCACATTTAATTCATTTTATTGAAGTACGAAAGAGAAAACAAAGCTAAGTTCATTAACTATCTATGAATTTTATTCTACATGTTTTAGAGTATATCCGGATTATTTGCCAGTATAGAACGAATGGATGAAGTTCGAGTAAGTTTTATATATGAAATAATTTAAAATAAATATAAAGTGTCTTTATTAGAAATTTTACGTTGATTATCCAAATCCACTTTTGGATAGATCAATAAAAAAAGTACTTGAACAAATCAATATTCGACGTCTTGTACTTGAACGTCATGAACATAGTATTAACGAATTTCTTAGTAATCACGATGACAATTTTTCACGATTGTGATAAAACTATACAAAAAAAATGTGTTGTTGTTTTATAAGGAACAAAAAAACGCGTAATCCATGTTAAATTTCTAATAAATATTTATTAGAAAGGTTTTTTTTTATTTCATTTTGTATTGTAAATGATGAAGTAATATAACATCATATGAATAGATGTACCGTTTAACTTCATTCATTAAAATATGAAATGTTTTCAAGATATTTTTCCTACTTAAATTATCCATTTTATATTTAGTGGATTTTTTATTTGAAAAATAAACTTCGTATAAAATATTTAAAGATTTATCGATATCATCTGATCAAGGAAGCCAGTAAAGTGATCTTTGTAAATATTAACTCATTATCATAAGAATGGAGAGTAAACTGAGTTCTAATCTGATCAATATTCTTTACTATCAATTTATGTAGACAATAGGGTCTTGTTTCCAATGAAATCGGAACAGGAGCTGAAATAGGACGTATGATAGGAATTATAAGAAGATCAGAGGCCAATTCGTTTTAGATCGAGACTGAGACTCGGACCAAACATGACTGGTTCCGCTCATATCTATTTATCCAGTGTAAAAAGTCACTTAATAATTACAAAATAAAATAAACTTTTCAGTGAGATGAACATGACTTTTACGCTAACATTTATGTTTTCTTGAAGACTAAAGTGACACAATTTCGTTGTCTAACAGAGATGTCAAGCTAAATTTGCGGGTTTCTTATCTTTCAATTTCTATACTATCAATTTAGATTATGCATATTATACGAGTAAGTTCGTATTACACATCCGCAGAGGAAGAGAAAATGTCAAGATATCAAAAATGATCGATATCATTATTATCGAACCTAGATGATATTATTCAAGGGAATACAATAAAATTTGTAGCAACAATATCAAAAGCTGCCATAGTTATGCTTTAATAATTCATATAATTGAGTATTATTAGTAGAAACAATGTGAGCATTGTATGCATGAACTTAGAAGATTTGAGCGATTTAAGAAAACTTAAAAGTTCTGTGAGAATTTTTTAGAAAATATTTCAGTCTTCAATCAAAACAATGTTCCTAAATGAAATGTGTTAACCGATGATTAGATAATTAACGAAGAAAAGTTTCGACAACTACTACATTTTTTTAATGTTTAATTACAAGAAAGAGTAGTGTATTAAAAATGGTCAAAAAAAATTTATCAGCTGATTTTCAACCAATCTTTATCTATTTAATCATTCACCCTTTTGTATTTCAGTTTCCAAGATTTTTCTTCGATAGAAATTCTATTTTCATAATTAATGCATTTCTTGCTAAAAATATAACTGAAAAATTCTTTATTTCATATAAAACTCGTATAAAAAGCTATTTAGATATGACTACAATTGCAGAACTTCTTTTATTTTTCTCTTAAAAGAAAAAAACGCTGAAAAAATCATTGAAATGACGGTAAATTCTGGTACTTCATCATTCTAAGTAACCATATGGCATTGAATACATATCAATCAAACAAAAATCTAGGAAATAGAATGTAACAAAAAGACAATTGATGTTGTCATTTAAATCAAGACTAAACGACGTCAATTTTGACCTACATCTTAAACTATAAAACTATCAAAAGATCCAATTCAATGGATTTTAACATTTGCACATAGATATTTATTATGAATATATTAGCCGTCAAACAGCAACAAAATATTGTTTTTTTTTTTCTTTTTTTTTTGTTTTTGTTCAAAAAGCACAGACAAAAAATACAGTTTTTTCTCTCTATATATATACAAATTTAATTATGTTTTTTTTTCAAAATTCTTATCCAATACCCGTATTTAAATTTTCTACATCGGCTGGTAGTTTCGATGGTTTTCTTCGAAAAACATTTAGAAATTTCATAAAAACATTTTTAGAATTTCTATTAGTTATTGATGAACTGCTTCTGTGTGATGAATTTGTTAATATAGGTGTTTCGGAATCATTTGTATCAATACTTCCATTGATAAGTGTTAAACGACGTTTTTCTTCATTTCGAATTTGTTGATTTATACGTATTTGTTTTAATGTACCAGCTAATAAATCATCAACTTTATCATTTATCGCAGCTGATGTTTCAATAAATTTACAATCATGTTTAAATGCTGCATGACGTGCAGCTAAATTAAAGAAAAATTGTTTTTTTTTGTTATGTAAGCCTTTTTTAAATTTTAAATTAAAAGTCTTACTTTCTTTTGTTACAGAACGTTTTCGTACAAGATCTGATTTATTGCCAACTAAAATAATTGGTACATGACGTTTTATAGGTGATTGATTATTAATTAATTCATTATCACGAATATTTTTTATAAATTGTAATGCTGTTTGAAATGATTGACGATCTGTTATTGAATAAACTACAACATAGGCATCACCTGTTACACTCAATTTTATCTATAGAATAATAATAAAAATATTTTCAATTAAATAAAATAGACATTACATGATCAATATCCATTGTTAATATATGTAAACGAGATTCAATACCATCTAACATTATTGATACTGTATTGTCAGGATCATCTTCTATTTAAAGTAAATGAAAATATTTCAAATAGTAGTTATAGATTTGTTGTTTTTCTGATAAGGACATTCTGAGGGATGTGCGTTTTTTACAAATGGATTTCCGTTCGGAAGTCATATATATATATTATCGAATGACGTACGGGAAGAATATGACATTCTGCGATCATAACATATTTCTTTTACCATAAATTTAAAAGCGATTATTAATCGAAGATTTAGTAGAAAGTTTTTGACTGTTTATTTATATATGTATATATTGAATCTTAATCTATTTGCTATTATTATGAAGTACATTAAATTAGTTGATTTAGGTAAAATGATCTCGTTTTTTTCGAAAGCGGAAGAATTATGATCAATAGTCTATGCTTAATTAAACAAAAAAAGGAAGAAATCTAAACATATTTTCTCCAAGATGATTTCATTTGGAATATGATACTTTCTATCTATTGTGAAATAAGTATTTTGTATAATAAAGATAATAGTTAGGAATTATTATCGTTATAAATTATTATTTTCAAGAGATGTTTCATATAATTCTTGAATTGTTACATATTATATCGATTTTTATTCGATATAAAAATGATCTCATATAGAAAATATCAGAAACATAATTTTGTCTTACTTATTGGTTACAGAACACTATTATTTTTCTTTCTTTACATTTTCTTTTTCTCTATTTCAGAACGCTCGTCAAATTGCATTTGATCTAATCGATAAATCCATACAAAAAAATCGATATATCGACGATGATTCGCATATTTTTTTTATAACATCTGCGTGCAAATGTCATTGCCGTCAGCTATCAGCAATCGATTTTTTTTCTGTTTGCTCGATGTTTTTCTTGCTTAATAAGGTAGATATATAAATATATATATAGATATGTATATATATATATATCTTTACACTTACCAACCGAACTTGAATAATCATATATTCCTCGATATTCAGTGCTTTTAAATTGTCTCATAAGTGAACATTTCCCAGTTCCACTCATACCAAGTAAATAAACTTGATAAACATGTATATCTTGTACACGACCATCTTCTGTTTGTATACGTTCAACAAGTGGATTATCATCATCTTCATAATTTTCATCTTGATCTTGTAAAGGAATTGTTGATGATGTAGGATTACTATCAATAACATGACTATCAAGTAACCCATTGAGATTAGCTCCAGATGAATTTGTTAAAGAATTTTTACTTGTACGTATTTCTTTAGTTGATGATGGAGAATTATTTGTATCATGTTCTTGTGATGGTGTACGATCATTTGGTGTTATATTTGGATTAGCTCGAAATGAACTACGACGACTTATTGAACCACTACGTTTAAATGAACGTTTAAATGAATCTCTAAAACAAATAAATAATAATAATAGTAGAATTTTCTTTTTTGATTATTTACCCTCGATTGACAAATCCTTTCGGCGTTGTATTAAATTGTCGTACACGATAAACTTCTTCATCACCATCAAGTGGTAATTTTAATTGATCAAGTGTTAATGAACCTATCAAAAAATAATCTTAGATTATATTTCATGATGTTTTTTTGTTGTTGACCGTCACATAAATCAATCAACTGTTGTACTATGACAGTACTGTCTGTCTATTTCTCGTGTTTTTTTTTCTTCTGCATAATTAAAATAACAGTTGCTACGATAGATTTTCTATGTGAATAAGCGAATTAGTTTCCTTACCAATTCTTGCTGCTCGTTGGTTGTTTGAATTTGACCATTGCTCTTGTGAATCATCAGTTGCCATAAGATCTGCAGCAGAAACTCGTGCTGTTGTAGCTGTAATTGACTTGCGAAAAGAATCGGATGTGACTCGATGAAAACTATGATTGTTCTGTGATGTTGCTGTTGTGCTATATTTGCGTGTAGAAAAATATTGTTGCTGATCTTTTTCCTTTTCTTTCTTTTTTTGTCGATATTTTTTTATCGATTGAGGACGTTTATAAGAACAAGATCGTGCTAGAGGTTCTAATTGTTCATTTTGACTAGTTGATGTATGAAGAAATGTTTGTGCTGCATGTGTTAATGAAAAATTTTTACGTTTAGTACGTGCTAATGTTGGATTTGATTGTTGACTTTTAGGTGTTGACACTGAGGATGCTGATTGTCGATGATTTATGTCAATTATTGCATCATGTGATTGCTTATGTTTTGATGAAGGTGATGACGATAATAATGGTTGAGATTTTGCATAGGGATGTGCTGATGTATTATTTGATGATAATGGTGGAACTGTTGAAGGAGAACATGAACTATAACAACGAGGATGAGATGGAGGTAATGGTGATGCATTTGAGCGTGCAAATAGTGCATCGAAATGATCTGTATCTGTATTAATGTGTTCTTTACCATTTAGGTCACCTTCGACAACAAGACCCCAATGTATTGTAGGTCGAGAATTATTTTGTGATATGATTGTTGTTGATGCTTCATCTTCTGGTATAACGTCATTTACTAATTCATGATCTTCATTACTATTTGATTTATGATTAAGATGTGGTTCATACATTCTATATAAAGAAAATAAAAAAAGAATAATGAATGAGTTCGATCAATCATATGTTTTTCATGAAATTAGAAATATTTTTTTTTAGATTTTATTTATTAATTAAAAAAATATTATCTATTAATTACCAAGCATGATAATCCTTATTTTCTTCTTTAATATTTTCATTTAAGTATCACATATTAACCTAGTCCAGGATTATTAATCTATTATGCATAGTTGTTTTTAATAGCATGTTAAACACTTTATGGTTAAAGTGTTGAGCAATATTTCATATTGTCACGTTTCATCTAAATTAGTTTTATCTATATTCGTACATGCATTTTCTCTTCTATTCACAATAGAAATTCTTTTTTTGCATTGAGCATCATTTCTATGCATTAGTGTGGAGTATAGTCGAAAAATAGAGAGTAATTTAAACCTAATATCAATAAACAAGAAATGGTAAAAGTGATTTGTATTATATTTTTGTATTAGGAAAAGAAATCGATATTCTCTCAAGAGAATAAAATAAGTAAGATAGCATGTCAGACAAAATCAACTAGAATAATACATTGACAAATAAAATATTAGAGAAAAAATGAAACACAAAACTAATACACCTACATTTATTTCTTTCCAATTTTTTTCCTAAATTCAAATTTTATAATCAAACACAATAAAGATTTTTCTTTCTTTTTTTTGTCTTATCAAGTCAAAAGAAAAATATTCGTATAAATATACATGTATGCCTGGATGAGCAATGTATAGGCTCGTTTCCGGCATTGATCGGTAACGTTTAATAGTTTCCGTAAGTTCTCTAGGGAATATAATGTTCATTAAATAATTAATTATACTTCTCAATATAAGAAAAGTATTTACCTGATAAATTTGACTCTTTTATGTCGAGTCGATTGTCGACGAAGCAATGAAGGTGATGACGTTTCTGCCATCGTCATCGTATGAATTTTCTTGATTTATTATTTTTCTTTTTCTTTGTTTTCCACAAACAAAGATGATAATCATCATACATACATTCCTAGATTTTTCTGATTCCGATTCAATAGCTTGTAACCAGGTCAAGAAGACTTTAGATTACTTTCACATGTTTCATAGAAATCGAAAAAAAAACCGTACTAGATGGACAGAAAACAATCTGTTACACTCAAAATTATATGTTTCTCTTGAGAGCTTTGCTTTTAATTGACATGAGAAAAGAAAAAAAGAAGAAAAAAAAAGGAAAAGATGAGCACGGAAAATAAGCTACTAGAAGATGGAGGCGGTTGAGAACTAGAAATAGATACTAACGTTTTTTATGCTGAAAGAAAAGGAACAACGAAGAAGAAAAAAAGAGCGAAAATCACATATAAACATCTTGGCAATCTATGAATTAGTATGAAGAAAACATAATGATTCTCATTTGTGAGTTCAAATAAAAGTTTTCAAACACACTTGAATAAGCATAGAAAAAAATTATTGGTTGAAATAAAACATGCTTTATATTGCTATGTGGTTCAACTTATGCTTATTACACATGAATAATTCTTTGATTGTATAGAAAAAAAACCTATGTAAAAATCTTCTATTCTATTGGTAAAATAATTCTTTCATATTGAAGTAAATCTTTAATGAAATCTTTCGAAATATGTTATGTATTTTTGGTTTATATATCATATAATAACATGTTATTTATCTTATCAAAAAAAAAGACGAAAGAAAGTAATATGACAGACAGATAAACATTAACAGATATAAATAAGCAAAAAAAGAGAATATTGTATATATCATCAACTAATTATGCCGCTTTTTTACTGTTAATGAATATTTTTTAATTAAATTATGAATATTCTATATTAAAAAGAGTTTGATGAATATTTAAATAAGTTATTATTTTGCGCCATTCTAATATCTTTGATCTCGCTTACGGCACACCGGATATTTACAAACTGTTACAAATAGTTTATTTATGAGACCGCAAGCATCAGAAGATATTTTAAGAATTAATTTCAAACATAAAAATAGACTTGAAAAACTAATCATTCAGTCTCGAGCTAGATGAATAACATAACAAAGATCGATATTTTAGTTCTTTACAATTCTAATGATCATATTTTCTTAGAAAATCGAAAGATTCTTTTTTTTAATATTCTGATGAGGTCAACTTAACAAAGAAAATTATATCAAGAAAAGCCATTTATAAATAGAAACTTTTCGAAAAATATAAGTTCGTAATCAATAGTCAACATCGAAAGAAGACGACATTTCTAATCTATTTCTAGCGTTTTTTATTAGTCCGAGTAATTCTATTGAAAATCAAAGTTCCGGAACTCGATATGCTTCTCTCTGTTTGATGCTTTCTTACAATAAGTTTTATTATGAACTTGTCATCTAAATCATACCCATTCAAAAACAATGAATTCTTTACAGGAGAATAATAACCCATCGCAATATCATCTTTGATAATACGTATAATAATTTTTGAGTTTTCAATTAAAATAGCCATATATTTGAAATCTGATGTTGTGTATATCGTACTCAAGTAAAAGCAAAAATGATTGACGTCACTAACTTAAATGTCGGAGAGACACACAATTAAAAAAGTTCTATTATATCTCATTTTAGAATTCTCTTTTTTTTTAATACTCTGAAAAAATACATGTAATTATGTATATTTATTAATAGGAAGATTAATTATTTTTTCAGTGCATAAGATAAGACAAACTTTCATTTATTTCAAAATAATTAATGAGCATTAATTCATAGTTGTAAGGATAAAATAAATATGAGTTTCATATTACAACATAAGTCTCTATTTACAATAAGAAGAATCTCATCATATGTTGATATAAGAAGAGCCAAAAAAAAAGTGTTTCTATCTAATTGACAGAATTTATTATATATATAAATCTTAGAAATATAAATGAACTTATTTTCCTCTACTTCTATGATAATTATAAACAATATGATGAAAATCAGAAGTGTTTTCTTCCAAAATCGAATTATCATCAGAGTATTTATTTTATCAACGAGTACTCTTCAATCAGACGATAAACAAAATAAAATTGTAAGAAAATAATTACATGGAGTTTTTTTGTTGTATAAGTATCTTTTAAATATGAGAAGCCCAACAGAAAGAAAAATAATATATATATATATATATGAGATCGATCGAAGAAATGAATATTAACAACCACACGGGCATAATTCATTTACTGTTTTAATGACATCCTTCGGAGAAAGAAATTAGTTAAATAATATCTTTTTTTGTAATTATCGAAGGTCATAGAACTCAATGATTTTGTATAAAAAAAAGAATTATCATTATATTATCAACAAAGGTTATTATTCACCCATAATAAATTTTCTCGTTATCCATCAAATAAATTGTTCGAGTGTAAGAATGTGAAATGCATCTTTATCGCTATTATTTCTGATTGAGGTTTCCATATCAAACATTTTGTAATACAAATATTAATGTACATAAAGCAAAAGAAACATTCTATTGAGATAAACTTGAAATATTTTCGAAGAGCAAATACTTGAAAAACTATTTCCTATTATAGAGAAATCGAAGAACAAAAAGAAAATCATGCAATTCAAACTGATTTGTTATCTCATTTGTGAATGCAATTTTTTGAAGAGAATGACAATTAATAGAAGAGATTGTTGTAATCATTAGTTCTATTATAAGAACAAGACAAAAGGCATAGAAAACAAAAATCATTTCGAAATATTCTTGTTGAAAAGTCTAATCATTATTAGACTACATAAAATGAAATGAATACATAAGAGCTATGCTGAACATTCTAAACAATATATTATCACAATTTTCTTAAAAATCTATGAAATCAATATTTTGTTATTAATATATAATAAGAACAAATCAATGGATACATATGTCCTCTCCTTGCAATGTTACTAACAATCACCTATGTTCTTTCTTTCCTTGAATTGTGGGCAGATTTATTCATACTAACAAATTTCATATTTTTTATTACGCCCGTTTATTTTGCTTATTACTATTCGTGTCACGTTAATAACCATACTTTGTTTATCTATTCTTCATCATGCACACTTTCTTTAATATTCGAGTTCTTCTTAATGGCTACATTCAGTCACTCACTACTTTATATTATTCTCATTTTTTTTTCTCTTATCTTTTTTTATTCATTGTTATTCTTCATTTCCTGTTCATCATCACTTCAATATATTGGAATATCTTCATTTATTCTTAAGTCATCTTATGATGATGACATCATCTACCATTTTATGGTAGCATCTAAGATTATACTCAATTGCCCATGTAATTCTCTCACCTTTTGAACTTTATTGAGTCGTATAATCATATGAGATTACTAAATCAAACAAATGACATTTTTAATCTAGACTAAAAACGAATATTTTTCGAATAAGATCAATTCTATAGAAATTACTAAAAATTTGATGGTTTTCACAAGATTTTATTTTTCATACAAGATAAACATGATATTCAAAATTAAAGTTCAAAAGTTTTGTCGTAGGGATAATCAATGTTTCAGCGTCAATCAATTCTTATTAAAATTTTAAATGCTACTCTACAAGTAAATTTTTTCTGAATCATATGTTCTAATGAAATATAAAAGTTCCAATGACTTCTTTTTTTGCGTGTTAATTTGAAATACCATACTTATTCTTAATAAAAAAAAATAACAAGTACATTTAACAATTAAAAACTTGACATATTACTTATATATTAATATTTTACATGGAAGTAACCGTATTTTAATGACATTGGTTTCTGTTTTTGGCTGATACCAAAAATATCTGATATCCAAATAGTTCTATCTTATGTCGCCACACTGTCTATAAGAACAAAAAAATAATTAAACGAAGGAAAACTAACGAGGCATTGAGTCCATGGAAAAATCGTTAATTTTTTGTTTCAGCTCATTAATTTCTAAAAAAAATTATGATCTAAATATATAAATGTAACGAGACAAGAAAAAGAATATCCTTAAGTAACTTTTACATTTAAATATAGTATC